ATAAGAAGATAATACATGTTTCAATATATAAAACCTTTGCCCTAACTACCCTAGGAGACATAATAATGTGGTTAGATTTTTGCAAGCACCGGGTTTTGAAAACACAAAATCAGGATTTATTCCACACAAGAAATACAGGAATATGCAAAACTATGCTTCCTAGAATAAAAGCTTCTGTTTATGAAAGACGTTACATAATGGTAAAGTGATCAATGAAACAAGACGCACTAACGATCCTAAATATATATATGCACCCAACACAGGAGCACCCAGATACAAAAAGCAAGTTCTTAATGACCTACAAAGAGACTTAGACTCCCACACAATAATAGTGGAAGACTTTAACACCCCACTGTCAATATTAGACAGATCAACAAGACAAAATGTTAACAAGGATATCCAGAACTTGAACTCAAGATCTGGACCAAGCAGACCTAATAGACATCTACAGAACTCTCCACCCCAAATTCACAGAATATAGATTCTTCTCAGCACCACATCACACTTATTCTAAAATTGACCACAAAACTGGAAGTAAAACACTCCTCAGCAAATGCAAAAGAATGGAAATCATAACAAACAGTCTTTCAGACCACAGTGCAATCAAATTAGAACCCAGGATTAAGAAACTCACTCAAAACCACATGACTACATGGAAACTGAACAACCTGCTGCTGAATGACTACTGGATAAACAATGAAATGAAGGCAGAAATAAAGCTGTTCTTTGAAATCAATGAGAACAAAGACACAACGTACCAGAATCTCTGGGACACAATTAAAGCAACATTTAGAGGGAAATTTATAGCACTAACTGCCCACAACAGAAGTGAGGAAAGATCTAAAATCGATGCCCTAACATCACAATTAAAAGAACTAGAGGAGCAAGATCAAACAAAATCAAAAGCTAGCAGAAGACAAGAAATAACTAAGATCAGAGCAGAACTGAAGGAGATAGAGACATAAAAAGCCCTTCAAAAAATCAATCAATCCAGGAGCTGTTTTTTTGAAAAGATCAACAAAATAGATAGACTGCTAGCCAGACTAATAAAGAAGAAAAGAGAGAAGAATTAAATAGATGTAATAAAAAACGATAAAGGGGATATTACCACTGATCTCACAAAAATACAAACTATCATCAGAGATTACTACAAACACCTCTATGCAAATAAACCAGTAAATCTAGAAGAAATGGATAAATTCCTGTACTCTTACACCCTCCAAAGACTAAACCAGGAGGAAGTTGAATCCCTGAATAGACCAATAACAAGGTTTGAAATTGAGGCAGCAATTAATTGCCTACCAACGGAAAACTGTCCAGGACCAGATGGGCTCACAGCCAAATTCTACCACAGGTACAAAGGGGAACTGGTACTATTCCTTCTGAAACTCTTCCAAACACTACAAAAAGAGGGAATCCTCCCTAACTCATTTTATGAGGCCAGCATCATCCTGACACCAAAACCTGGCAGAGACAAAACTAAAAAGAAAAATTTCAGGCCAATATCCATGATGAACATTGATGCAAAAATCCTCATTAAAATACTGGCCAACCGAATCCAACAGTACATCAAAAAGCTTATCCATCACAATCAAGTTGGCTTCATTCCTGGGATGCGAGGCTGGTTCAACATACACAAATCTATAAATGTAATCCATCACGTAAACTGAACCAAAGACAAAAAAACACATTATTATCTCAATAGATGCAGAGAAGGCATTTGACAAAATTCAACAGCCCTTTATGATAAAAACTCTCAATAAACTAGGTATCAATGGAATGTATCTCAAAATAATAAGAGCCATTTATGACAAATTCACAGCCAACATCATACTTAATGGGCAAAAACAACTGGAAGCATTCCCTTTGAAAACTAGCACAAGACAAGGATGCCCTCTCTCACCACTCCTATTCAACATAGTATTGGAAGTTCTGGCCAGGGGAATTAGGTAAGAAAAAGAAATAAAGGGTACTCAGGAAAATATGAAGTCAAATTGTCTCTATTTGCAGATTGTATATTTAGAAGACCCCACTGTCTCAGCCCAAAATCTCCTTAAGCTGATCAGCAACTTCAGCAAAGTCACAGGATACAAAATCAATGTGCAAAAATCACAAGCATTCCTATACACAAATAACAAACAGAGAGCCAAATCATGAATGAACTCCCATTCACAACTGCTACAAAGAGAATAAAATACTTAGGAATATAACTAACAAGAGATGTTAGTTGGATTCAAGGAGAACTACAAACCACTGCTCAAGGAAATAAGAGAGGACACAAACAGATGAGAAAACATTCTATGCTCACGGTAAGAAAGAATCGATATAGTGAAAATGGCCATACTGTCCAAAGTAATTTGTAGATTCAATGCTATCCCCATCAAGCTACCATTGACCTTCTTCACAGAATTGGAAAAAAAAAACCATCTTAAACTTCATATAGAACCAAAAAAGAGCCCATATAGCCCAGACAATCCTAAGAAAAAGAAAAAACAAATCTGAAGTCATCACACTACCTGATTTCAAACTATACTACAAGGCTACAGTAATCAAAACAACATGCTACTGGTACCAAAACAGAGATATAGACCAATTGAACAGAACCGAGTCCTCAGAAATAACACCACACATCTACAACCATCTGATCTTTGACAAACCTGACAAAAACAAGCAATGGGGAAAGGATTCCCTATTTAATAAATGGTGTTGGAAAAACTGGCTAGTCATAAACAGAAAGCTGAAACTGGATCCCTTCCTTACACCTTATGTAAAAATTAACTCCAGATGGATTAAAAATTTAAGCATAAGACCTAACACTGTAAAAACCCTAGTAAAAAACCTAGGCAATACCATTCAGGACATAGGCACAGGCAAGGACTTCATGACTAAAACACCAAAAGCAATGGCAACAAAAGCCAAAATAGACAAATGAGATATTAAACTAAAGCACTTCTGCACAGCAAAAGAAACTTTCATTAGAGTGAACCGGCAACCAACAGAATGGGAAAAATTTTTGCAATCTACCCATCTGACAAAGGGCTAATATCCAGAAGCTACAAAGAACTTAAACAAATTTACAAGAAAAAAACAAACAACCCCATCAAAAAGTGAGCAAAGTGTATGAACACTTTTCAACAGCAGACATTTATGCAGCCAACAAACATATATAAAAAAGCTCATCATCACTGGTCATTAGAGAAATGCAAATCAAAACCACAATGAGATACCATCTCATGCCAGTTAGAATGGCGATCATTAAAAAATCAGAAGACAACAGATGCTGGAGAGGATGTGGAGAAATAAGAACGCTTTTACACTGTTGGTGGGAGTGTAAATTAGTTCAACCATTGTGGAAGACTGTGTGGCAATTCCTCAAGGATCTAGAACTAGATATACCATTTGACCTAGCAATCTCATTACTGGGTATATACCCAAAGGATTATAAATAATTCTATTATAAAGACACATGCACATGTATGTTTACTGCGGCACTGTTCACAATAGCAAAGACTTGGAACCAACCAAAATACCCATCAATGATAGACTGGATAAAGAAAACGTGGCCCATATACACCATGGAATACTATGCAGCCATAAAAAAGGATGAGTTCATGTCCTTTGCAGGGACATGGATGAAGCTGGAAACCATCATTCTCGGCAAACTGATGTAAGAACAGAAAACCAAACACCACATGTTCTCACTCATAAGTGGGTGTTGAACAATGAGAACATATGGACACAGGGAGGGGAACATCACACACCGGGATCTGGTGGGGGGCTGGGAGGCTAGGGGAGGGATAGCAGGGGGTGGGGTGATGGGGGAGGGATAGCATTAGGAGAAATACCTAATAAAGATGACGGAGTGGTGGATGACACAAACCACCATGGCATGTGTATACCTTTGTAACAAACCTGCACATTTTGCACATGTACCCCAGTACTTAAAGGATAATAAATAAATTTTTTAAAAAACAAAAAAAATACAACTAATATTTGCAGAAGCAATCTTGATGAACCCTCTTATTAAAATCATAAGATTTTTTTCTATAGATGTTAAAACTATCTTCTCCTGTTATGCCTTTTACTTCTTTATCTTGTCTTATTTTGCTGGATGGAATTATTAGTATTTAATAAAAGGGTTGATAGTGGGAAAAAAAAAACCTTCTGTTTATTACAACTTACGAACAGACCAAAATTATTTGCATATAAAAAAGTGGAAGTAACCTGAAATGAAGTAAGAATTGCATGCCTAGATAAACTGTCAAGTTGGGGAAAATGAGAGATGATGATGTGCCTCCAAGTGAGCTAGGTGTTATGCACAAGGGTGGCATCAGGATGATTCCATGTGGCATGTTGTGGAATAGAGCAGGAATGATGTATTATAAAAAATATATATCATCTGTTATGAACTACCATCACAAATAGAATCATACATGCAATCTCTGAATCACCATCAGGACTGGAAACAGCTGTACATGACACCAGTTAGTTGCATAGGACTGTTCTGTACCTTGAAGAACATCCAGCAGCCCTGGCACCTCAATTCTAAATGCCAGTGGTGCCCCCCAACCCTCGTGGTGACAAAAACTCCTTCTTGACTTCCAGAGCATCCTTGCTCAGCACAGAGCAGGAGATCCACAAAGGTGGAAGGAACTAAAGAACAAATGGTTGGATGAAAGACTCAGTGAATGAACAAGTTGAAGGAGGAGAACAATCCGAATGTCAAGAGAGCGTCCCGAAGATCAGGAATGCGAGAGGAGCTGGCCCAGGGCACGGCAAACAGCTCTCAGGATAGGCTGATTGAATAGAAAGTGGGAACAAACAGAATGCTTCATTTGATGCTGTCCAAAAACCCAGGGGCTTTGCTGTATCCCACACCCCTGACGTTGCCTCTGAACCCCTTGGTTCCTGGCCGGCTTCACCACAGACTTCAACAGGCTGGTTAGCTCAGTGGTCCAGAGCACTTTCTGGCTTCCCTAAGTGGGAAGGAGCATACGCACCTTCTTCAGTTTCTGCAGCACCGAAGGGCATAGCTGTTCTTTCCTCTGGCCTGGCTTCTCGCTCAAAGGCCTAGAAAACAATGGAAAAAAAACAAAAAACACTGAAAACCATTTGAGGTTTCGGATATGCAACAGAGGCAAAAGTCATTCTCAAGGATCTCAGAGCTAGGAGGCTGGGAAAGAAGTGGGTGGGTGAAAGCCACTTGGAAAACATACAGCCAGCACCCCAGGAGGAGGCGGCGCGAAGTCAGAAGAAACTCCGCAGCAGGGGCCAAAACTGTTTCTGCTGCTAAACTTTTACAGCTTCTGCAGGTCACCCCAAGCAGAAGGTTCTCAGGAATACCATGCATGAACCAGAAAGAGAACCAAGAATCTTGACACCAGATAGAAGGGCTTCTCTGGTCTATGCATCTGCCACCTGGAGCAGACCCAATCCACATCCTAAGTAAGACACAGGGATCACAGGGAAGATTCAGGATGACCATGGGCCTTGAACTGCAGGTTGGCACATGCCGGTGCAGGCTGGCCCTGGCTGAAACTCAGTTGGTGAGCCTTCCAAAAGGCTTTAGCAAAAAGTTGCCCTCTTGGGATCATCTAAATTTTCTTTTCAGACAGATTCCCCACAGCCAGTGAAAATGAGAAGATACACAGAATTATGTGTTGATGTGCTGAATAGTGAACCAGCCCAAGATGGTTTCAGCACAGGTTCTGAAATCAATCATCAGTATACTTGGGCAGGTGACCACATAACTGACATAGGTCCCTTATCCCCTTGGGCATGCCATTAAGCCCCATGGATTGGGTGCTTCATTCTTTGACTATTTAAGAACAATGTCCCACAGTCAGAGTAAAAGGAATGGAAAAATATATACGATTTAGCAAACCACAAACAGGCAGGGATCAACAAGTGCCTGGTCACCCACCCTCCAGTGGCTGTTAACTCACCCCAGTCCCACCTCCAGGACACTGTGTTCTCTCTTCTAAGGCCCACCATGGAATGAGTGGCTGGACCAGGGCAGGTCCATATTAAGGGGTAGTGAGGAGATGGCCGCAGGAGCACCCAGGGATGGAAGACGGGTCACCACACATGCTCAAGGCCTAGGACAGCCACCTGCCCATGTGTCTACCTGGGCTGAACCTTAGCCTTAACCCCCCATCTTTCAAAGAAGAGAGTCGCCAAGCCTATGTGAGGAAAGAACAGCAGGCAATGCTGGTTTCTGATTACACAACAAAACTTGAAATAAGGAAATACTATTTTCTCTTGAAAATAGAACATATTCAAACTTAATTTTTATCCTTATGAGTAATTTTGAATATACCTTTAAAAATTTAAATTTCCTAGTTGCTTATTAATTTTAACCAAGTTCTAGAATGAAATTATCGGCATTCTGATTGTTATGAGATAATCAAAAAGTGATTAAAAGAAATGGCTAAGAGTTTGCCTATTATTTATTTCCTAATATTCTGTCTTTACAGTTTAGTTATTTAGCTCCACCTTCCATTTTAACATTTAATATCTGTTAGAAACTGTCAGGCCACCACTGTCAACTGCAACACAGTGTGAAAGTATGAAGCCTTTACAACTCTGAACAAGTATTCTGACTGGGTTCACCTTGAGAGCTGTTATGCATTGTAAAACAAACTCAGGTTTCTGCAGCAAGGCTTTACCGTCATTGTTTTACAGGACTACAGACAACTAAGCAATGCCCAAACCCGGAGACTACACACGTATCCTTGGGGAAGACAGAGTATGAGCTGGAGTTCAGTGAGAACCAATCAGTCTCTCAAATCAAAATCACCAACTATAGCTGTCATATAAAAATGGACTTTTAGATAAGATTCGACAAAGCATGAATACTTTTTATACAAAATCGTTATGTAATCTCATATTTATCATCCAAAGTTGTAAAGCTTCAGTGTGGACAACCTATAAAATAATTACCACCTGCATACATTTAAAATAATATCTAACCAACTAATATACACCACAACAAATTTAGATAAGAATACAATAGAATCACTTTGTCAGGAAAGTAAGAATTAACGTCTTTGGATGTTATAAAGACTCTTGCAGCCCTTCCTGCCCAGTCTCTCTGCGCACTACCAGCCACATATTTTGAGAAAGGAAGGAAAAAGAAGGATGTAGAAACTTGGAACATAAGGCCATTCCAGTCTAACTGATTCTTGTATCAAGTGTTTTTCATAAAATGAAAATCTCATAGAATCTGGAGAGGCATCACCATTTGTCCTTTGTGATTATTAAGTACACTACAATAAATTATTGAGGTATCTAGATTTACTCATCATAAATCTTCCCCCAAAGTCATCAGTATTATCTCAAATATATATGAGAAATCACAAATCTAGCCTAAGACTTAGAGGATTTTACAATGAAGCAAATGTTCAATAGAGTTTGTTGCGTTCTTTTCAGGATAGTCACAAGTGCCATGCTGCCATCTGAGCATCGCTTCTGAGGACAGGCACTTGGCTGAGCTCTGTCTCCGTGCATCTGCCCAGCTGGAGTAACCACCGCTTGGTGCTTTGGTAAGAAACCACAGTGATGGCTGAAGGCTTGAGCAGCTTTAAATGGCAAGCATCTTTAAAGTTAAAGACCCTCATTCTGTATATACTGTATGTGATAATGTACATCAGAAAATTATAAACCAAATTCCCTAAAACCCAGAAAAGAGATAACAATCATACTCTGAAGACCATGTTTCATTTTAATTGTTTAAATAAAACTCTATATGGAGTAAGCCAATAATAATCTTTGTTTGGTGCATAATGTTTTTGGCTAACTCGTTATTTCAACTATCTGAAGCAAATATTCTACAAAAGCTGAAACTGTGGTCAATGATAATATCGCTTTTCTAAGCTGACTTTTTACTCTGTAAAACCTAAATAGTCATGAGACCTGTGCCTTGTGAAGGAATGTGCTTGAGAACACAGGAGGCCACAGGACCTAGTGTATCCATTAGACCCTGGAGCACTATGAACTAGATTGACTCAGAATAACATCTTGATTAATCATAATTAAAAGACAGAAATTATTCTTAATATTCTTTCAAAGTCTATCAAAAAAAGAGAGATAAAGGTGAACTGTTTTAAACCCTGAGATGAGAATGCCATGAAAGCACTCAAAGGCGGGGTTGGACCATGATGGGAAGGGGAAAACCTCTTTGGAAAAGGACTAGGTTTTTACCTGTTTCCATTCAAGAAGAATCTGTACACTGGAACAAATGCTTGACTACATTTGAGCAATATGAAAGCCCAGGAGTAGATACTATACATGTAAGATAGCCCTAAATATAACTGCTTTAGATAATAATTATAATACAATCAATAAGAGAAAACATCCAGTATTAAAATATTAAAGCCCAATCATGGAAAGGATTGGCTCAGAAAAGAAAATGAAAATATTATACAAACTACTATTTTTCTACTGCTAAAACATACAATATTCTTCATTCTACTGATCTAATGCAGTTTACAATTTCATGTCCCCCAAGGTTTCGTTACAAAAAAGAAAGTGCTACCCATAAAAAACATTATTCTCATAACAAGAAACTGATGCCTGCATTCTCTCAAGCGTACATTATTGTATACCAGGATCACTGTGCACAAACCTTGACAAGAAAGGCTCTATCCCAAAAGTATTTCCGGAAGAGTTTAATATCTGCCTCCAACAAATGCTGGGCTGTGTGGTTAAGGGTCAGGGTCAGCGTTTCTGATGAGTGAACGTAATGCAAGGAGGCTTCTTCACTGAGCTGCACTCGGGAGAAGCTTGGGGACCATCTGCCCTGAAAACTGAAACAACACAAATCAAAACCCACACAGAGCTTCAAAGACACCAGTCCCAGATTCCAGCACTTAGGATCACTGCCCCTGATCTTACAAACCCAACTAGCAAAATGATCCTTGAAAGTCACCTATGTCCAATAAATACATAAGATCATGAAAACAGATACTAATAAAGCCATCTTTCTTTTTCCACCTAGAGAAGGAGTCTATTGAAAACCATTGACATATACTACACACTTTAATGGTTTACTTAAAGAATGAAACAGTACTGATTTTTAAACATAGTACTTTACTTCAACATTTCATTCTCCTTTTAGTCTGAAAAGATGCCTCTCACTTCAATGGGGCTACCTGTAATAGAACAAATTAGCTGGCAGCCAATGGTTTATTAGGTGATTACAGTGGAAAACAGATATGATCTCTAGGGAACGTGGTGAGGTTTGGATGTTATAAACAAGTGAGATATTCATAACAAACTGGTACCACTGTTGTAAATCCTCTCTTATGCAAATTAAAACATAAATACATTTGATTATGTTGTTTTTGTGAATACACTTGTACACAAAGGAAAGATATTTCCAACTTAAATTCTTAAATATACACTTATTTTCTTTTACATCTTGGCTAAGAACATTTGTACATTTGTAAATTATATGAAGGCTTCATGGTTAGTATCACAATATTCTGGATGGCTTATACAGTCCTGTAATAGTAACAGTAAATAAATATCAGGGGGGAAATATTAATGTTCTTGGATTACAGCCCACCTCAGCAAGTAACATCCCACCAGACTGTTCCCAGATTCCTCGATTCACAGAACTAGCTCTATGTCCCTTTCCTCTTTCAATATGACTTAATTTTGTTAATGAAGGTTTGCTTTACAAAAATATCATATATTTCCAATGAAGTAAATGTTATCTCCATCAGATGGAGTGTCAAAAAGAGATCCATAGAGAACAGTTGTACTCTAAGTCTTGGGGAACCTCTCCAAACTCTTGACACTCATTACTGGCAAGGACTCCAGAAGTTTCCAGAAAACAACTCCCCATGCCAACAACAAGCCACTGAGATGAATGGTCTCTGAACCTGAGCAATAAGATCATTGTTGTTAATTTAGAATATGGAAGCTCCATCATATCACCAGAATTTAGCTTACAGTCTACTTCTAAGCCTATCCATGAATGGATTTATTAGACCTGGAAACTTTTAAAACACATACCTTATCGTCTTGGACACAGTAAAAAGATACAAAGCTACCAACAGATGAAGTCTGCTTGCAGAACCTCAGTGGAACACAGGACTGTTCACAATGAATGAGTCAAAGGAAGTGTTCTTGCCTTGCCCTATTTAGCCAAGGAAGTGAGGTCAAGTTAAGCCAAGGAAAAGGGCAATTCCCTCTGGATAGGCTTACCCCTTGGTTGATGGTAATTTGACCAAATGAGAAAAGGTAAATAAACAAAAAGCTCTGATTTCTACTCTAATGTCGACTTAGGAACCACATAACCATAAATTAATTACCTCGAGTTCCATGAGCCAAACAAGAAAAGCCAGTCCATTTGGACATGCCAGGTAACAATACTCTAATAACATTTAATATTTATGTAGCATTTACTCTAACAATGGCTAATATTTATGTAGCATGTTGTAATTTTCAATGCACTTTCCCATTTATACTTTTGCTTTTGACCACTTAAGAAAATCACTATATATGAATCCTTCTTTCATAAACTAAGAATAATGATTGACCTGAACCATTCTAAGTAACCAACAATATACTCATTATTCCTTGGAAGTGTTGATACCATCATTAACACAGAGAACATCATAGTTTATAAATCATTTCCTTTACATTATTTCACTAGACCATAATGACCACTATATTGGCTAAATCTTACCATAGCATTTGTCTGTTATTCACTGATTCAAAAAAATTTATATCCTTTTGACAAATAGTATGTGCTGGACATTGTACTGGAAGTATTGCAGTGGGTAAAAGAGAAATAGTCCCAGTCCTCAAATGATTAAGGAAAGAAATATATATGAAACAAATGATCGCATATATTAATTATAAAGCATTAATACTGTGTAGTAGTCATCATGTTACTCATCTTAACATTGTGAATTAATCATAATCATCAAAGAGAATAACACAGAAGGGGTGACATTTAGGCTGAAACCTAAATGCTAGTGTTCCCCAACTTTCTTTTATTATCACTCCTTTCAGAGCCTTTTGAGACCTTTCTTCCTGTCTCTCCCTCATGAAACATTAACACCAACTATATCAGTAAATCTGTTTATGTAATCTATATATATGTGATCTGTACTGTATACACGAGAGATAACAGTAAAACATAAACAACATTAGCTTGTGGTTTGGTTATTTCCATTTTTCTATAATGCTTGGCTGACTTTACAAAAACAGATTAAGAGAGAGACTATCAAGTAGCTAAACTCACTTTGTGACATCTTCTGCCAGCTTGGAGTGTCCGCCACGTAAAGCTAAGTCTAATGGTGTGGCACCCTCTTCGTTGGGTAAAGCCAAGGCCTGGACTCCCCCTGGGAGACACAAGAAGAACTGGGAAAGCTTAGCTAGGCCCCATCTCATAGCCAGGTGTAGAAGAGATTCTCTGTGAGAAGATACTGAAGAGGAAAAAACACATACCGTATTAGTTTCTCCATTTACAAAATTTGTTTTACACATTTTATCAAAGAGACAATGTATTTAGACATAATAAAGATGTCAGAGTTGGAAGAAACTAACAATGGCACCTAATCACTATACCTCATTTCACAAATTTGGAGAGGTCAAGGGGTTTGTGAATGGCCAGGTAGCCAGCAGGTGCTGGGGCCAGGTCTGCTCAGCACAGCTAGAGTGTTCTTTCCACCCACTTCAGTACACATGCACATCATCTTTCACTAGACATGCAGTGCAGTCACCTAGGGAAGCAGGTTCTAGGAAAGGACGGTCCTTTGGAGACAGATACCTGTTGATAGGCAAAATATTCTTTGAGGAGATCCTACTGCTCAGGCAGGGAGGCTTTTAGAGGCCAAGACTGTAGAGGCCTCCGTTTCTGCCCTTTGTCCTCAGAGCTGCTCCTCCCCTGATGAGAAGCTGTGACAGATATGGCTTCATGCGGGACGTTCTCAAACCTCACAGCAGTGCTTTTACCCATCTACTAAATTCCTGAGATTATGTCAACGTTGTCAAAGCCACCCCGATGCTCAGCTCAGAAAGCTTGGCCCGTAAGGCCCCTACACAGAGGGCCCTTGGTCCGTCCGTGTGCGTCAGCTCCACCGTGGTATTTGCCTCTCTCCATTATCACCTCCCAGGTGGAGGGGTCCTTGAGGTATTTTATTGCCAATACCTAGCATAGTATCTAGCAAACTAAAGCCATTTAGCATTTGTGGGGTTAAATGGCAATTGGCTGTTAAAATCTCTACGATTTGTGTATATTTAAATTACTTAGTTTGAATAGTCTGTGCACTGAATTGTTCACTTTAAAATGGACACTGAGGACAAAATGACCAGTTTCCTGTCCATATTAACACTATTTTACTATTCCACTATCTTCATTAGCACACTTTTACTATTCCAGAAGCCGCTAGCCCAGGCAATTGAATGATTGCCCATTACAGGAGCCTTCCGCAAGACTAACCAATTCTTCAGTAGGAACCAACAAAAGGCAGTTTAAACCCTAAAGCCGATCCTAAACTACATTATGGTCCTTCTCAAGTCCTCATCAAGCTCCTTCCCTGTCCACCATCCCTGGCCCCCCAGCATCCCCAACATTAAAAGGCCCTTATAAGGCCAGGCGTGGTGGCTCATGCCTGTAATCCCAGCACTTTGGGAGGCCAAAGTGGAAGGATCACTTGAGCTCAGGAGCTCAAGACCAGCCTGGCAAACATGGCGAAACCCACTCTCTACAGAAAATACAAAAATTAAATAGGCATGGTGGCACTTGCCTGTAGTCCCAGCTAATCAGCAGGCTGAGGTAGGAGGATTGAGCCCACAAGGCAGAGGTTGCAGTGAGCGGAAACTGCAACAATGCACTCCAGCCTGGGCCACAAAGTGAGGCTCTGTCTCGAAAAAAAGACCCTCATTAACCCAAACTCCAAGATAAATTCCCATCTCACTGGACCCCGTTCAAGAAACCACTAAGGCCTTGTGGAGCTGATATTCTCCCATACCATGCAGGCAATAGTCTGTGGTAATGATGATACTGAGGAAGCCAGGTTTCTACAAAGCTCTAATTTGAAACAATTAGAAGGAAACACTCCACCATAAATGAATGCAAAAAAAAAAAAAAAGAGGCTTAGTTTACATTTTTAATTGTTTATATTGTAATTTCTATATCTAGATCAATGAATGTAAGGCATTATACTTAAAATATGTAAATGAACTCCTCACAGTGAAATGCCACCAACTTCTCAGTAAATTTGCTCTATCAATTGTCTGTGTGACATGGAACACATCCACCAGTAAAATAACATTCAAAATACCAAAATATCTAGAAACAGACAACGCAGTACACTCCTGCCAAACACTGTTTAATATACTTGATATCTTCAGCTTTATAAAAATTTATATTTATAAAGAACTATATTAGCTATTAAAGAACTTATCTATTTTATCCTTTAGCTTTTTGACCATTATACTCATTTGATTAAAAAGTTATGTTTTAGTTTTTAGATTCACAGCAGAGTATGTTTGATAATATTTGCATTTTTCTTCCTTTTTAAATAATAACCAGGAAGAGATTTGTTGGGATCAGGTAGAAAATATACATATGCACACATATGAGCATGTGTACTCCCCAACACGGGACAACCTGTCAGTGTGAGATCTAACCAGGCATACTAGGATGGCCTTTATCTTTTTCTTTTCCTTTTTTTTTTTTTGAGACAGAGTCTCACGCTGTTGCCCAGGCTGGAGTGCAGTGGCGCAATCTCGGCTCACTGCAACCTCTGCCTCCCAGTTTGAAGTGATTCTCCTGCCTAAGCCTCCTGAGTAGCTGGGATTACAGGCATGCACCACCATGCCCAGCTAATTTTTGTATTTTTAGTAGAGACAGGGTTTCACCATGTTGGACAATCTGGTCTCGAACTCCTGACCTCAGGTGATCCACCCACCTTGGCCTCCCAAAGTGCTGGGATTACAGGCGTGAGCCACCACACCTGGCCGGGATAGAATTTCTAAGACACATTTCCCAATCTGAATATAGTGAGAAATATCCCATGGTTGTATGGATTGTAATTTTCTTTCCCCTCCCAAAAAATGATCAAAAGGGAACATCTAAACTGTCTGTGTTCCCTATTCAAATTATACCATTGGTAAACCGAAGCATGGGATCAATTAAAGTAACACTTGGCAGTGTCTGGTACAATGCCCTAAATACCATTAAACCTGGAGTGTAATTCACTGTATTCAACCTGACCGACAGTGTGAGTGTGGGCAGATGCGTTTCGTCTACCAGGAGAGCTCTCCAAGCCTGTTCTGCCAATCCAGCTCCCTCTTCTCTCCTGGCTCCATCCTCACAACGTGTTCAATGGGAGAGAACAGTAAGCATGTGGAACTGAATGGCTCACTGTTGAGAATCTACCCATTTCCTGGGGGGGTGAGAGGAGGGAAGGCAGGGGAAGAGAGGATCTTCTGATGTTTAAAGAAAACAAATAAAAACTGACCAAAATGTTGTAAGAGAGAGCCTTCTCATTCAGTATGAGAGTTCAGAGTCCAGAGTAAGGCAAACAGCTTGAAATAGGAAGCATCATGACATATATAAATAATTCCGCTTGTTATAGAGTTTCAGATTTCTTAACAGCAGCCAGGAAAACAAACTGTTGAAAGAGGTTATATAATTTGGCAGAGATGGGAGTGTTTAAAATAATTTCTTTAACTAAATAAATGTCTCTTCCTGTTTGGTTGGTGCCAGGAGTTATTTGAACTAATGTAACCAAAGCAGAATTACTAATAACTGCTCTAATGGCAAACATTAAAAGGTATGACCTATAACATCATGAAAGTGTGACCACGGAGACACAAAAAGGAACTGAACAGGCTGTGCCATTCAATAAACCATTCCTTACTGTATAACAGGGGGCCATCGGCTCCAGGTAGGAAGAGAGTGCAGAGTTCATGCTTCTCACTCTGCTGGGCATTGGCTTCTTTGCCCATGAAATGAGTCTGTCACAATAAAGATCCAAGGTTCCTTAGAGTATTCAATCCTGTCCTAACTCTATGGTTACTATCTGCAAAAACAGCACAGGTGAAGAGAGCTTTCATGCATCTAAAGCACAAGGGCAAGGAAGGCCAGACAGTTTGAGTGTTACTAAAGGAAACTGGTTTTGTTACTGGTCAATTTGGAACCATTATCATATCTACACAAGGCCTGGCCATACCTTTCAATTAGCTGAAGGCTTAGCTTGGGAAATTAAAAACTAAATTCACCTCTCGGCTGGGCATGGTGGCTCACATCTGTAATTCCAGCACTTTGGGAGGTGGAGGCAGGTGGATTACCTGAGGTCAGGAGCTTGAGACCAATCTGACCAACATGGAGAAACCCTGTCTCTACTAAAAATACGAAAATTAGCCGGGCATGGTGGCAGGTGCCTGTAATTCCAACTACTGAGGAGGCTGAGGCAGGAGAATTGCTTGAACCCAGGAGGCAGAGGTTGCAGTGAGCTGAGATCATGCCACTGGACTCCAGCCTGGGTGACAAGAGTGAGACTCTGTCTCAAAAACAACAAAAGTCACGTCTCAAATGTAGGCTAATCAATCATAATCAAATGTGCCACTCTGTGGGGAGTATTGATAATAGGGGAAGCTATGCATGTGTAGTGGAAGGGAATATATGGGAAATATCTGTACCTTTGACTTGAATTTGCCATGAACAAACTGTTCTTAAAAAGACTATTAAAAAATAATTAAATATTTTAAATAATTAACCACGGCCTCTAGAACTCACAGTCACTGCTAGAGAAAATGTAAATTGTTACGACCACTTTGGAAAACAGCAGCATTATCTAATAAAGTTAGAGGAACTAATGTCTCAGAGCAAATTCATTCCACAACAATTCCATTTCTACCTATAAACCCTAGCAAGAAAACATGCAAAAAAAATGTAAATGGTCAAAATTCAAAGCAATCTAAATGTTCATCAATGGAATAAATTGCAGTGTAATAATACAATAACATTCTAACAATCAAAATGAGTTACATATTAACACAGAAGGAAGTAATAAATATAATGTCACAGGGGAAAAATCAAGTCACAAAATACACAGGATATGTTTCAATTAATATGAAGTTCAAAAAGAGTAAACATGAAAATTATTACTTAGGCACATATTCATAAGTAATAAAACCGTAAAGAAAAGCAAGGAAATGGCCACTATGAAAGTCAGCATAATACCGCTTAGGAAAAAGGGAAGAATGTGACTAGGAAAGGAAGAAGGGTATTTGTACTCCTGGGGTCCACTGGTATGAGTATACTCTCTGTTTATCTGTCTCTGTCTCCCTCTACCTCTCTCTCTCTCTCTCACACACACACACACACATATATATGCACACATACAGACACTAGGTAAAATATTTTTTCTGATGTTTGCATGTGTATCAGTCTGTTTTCATGGACTGTTAAAGA